TTAACTTGTTTTCAAAATAAATCAAACTAAAAACCACTGTCAAAAAATAAATCAAATAAAATTTCAAACGTAACAGCAAAAAAATTCATAACCAACAAAAAGGGTCCTTAGAGAAACTACAACATCCACTAATGAAAGAAAGTTTTCACACAAAAGACATGACAAGTGTTCTCAAAGCACCTTGGGTGCAAAGCCCCTTTAGTGTGCATGTGCTAGGCGCAACGCGGTGAGCGTGCTCGACTGAAATGAGGCACACACAGCACACATAATTTTTCTAGACAGATAATCTAGCAGAAAACACATGATAATGAATTTTCATAAAAAAAATGTCAAGGTAAGTAATATCTACTACCTACAACTAAGACTTCAACTCACAATGCTAACACATCGAGCATTGTAGCGAGGTTTATAATTTTCCAAACCAAGAGTCAAATGAAGACTAATAGCAAAGCAAAATCAAATAGTAAATGAGGACCATTTAGAGTGAAAAAGGACAGAACGAATCATTCGAATCCTAGTAGGCAGTTGAGGTGAAAATGAAAGTATCTAATGTCCGAGCTTTCCTCAATCACAGCTACTGAAAAGGCCTCTAGGTTTATTTTGTTTCTTTGCACATGGCTTATCGGGTAGAAAGACCTGATTGAATTACAGAAGAAAAATATGAGGCTAGATGCAGGATGCTTGTGAGGAGCAAAAGGCATTGTCACATCAGATGCAAGGCACTTCACCACTACCCCACAATGCAGGGCGCGAGGGACATAGAGGCATGCACCTTGGATGACACTGCACATGACTAACCTTAAATTCTGCTATGGCATCTTGGCGTTCCAAAATTAAACTCTTGTCATAAAGCGGTCTTGCAAGCCAACTCTTCAGCAGCCTTTTGCCAGTAGAAGTCACACAATGATTTAGTTGTGCAAATAGCGTCCTGTATCCAGAAAGAATGTCACCTTTTGATATTCAAATTGAATATCACCTTTCAGTATTCAAATTGACAAAGTAATTGTAAATATTATAAGCTGCAATTACCCAGAGGGGCCTCCATTTCTGTTATTCTCGAGAATCTCAAGATTCTCAAGTGCTGCTGCATCAAGTATCATATATGCCTTCTGAGCAGCATCAAAGAAACAACTACACTGGAGCCTTTCAAACTTAGCACACTTAAGTAATGTTTCACCCAGAAAAGCTTGCCTCAAATAAAAAAGACAACCACCGAGAGCAGAAAGTGTACAACACTCATCCTGGCCCGCAGTCACCAGTTCAGATAAAACATCCGGAAGGATTCCTGAACATTTCTCCAATGTATCTGAATTGTCAGGATTGTCACCGTTTACATAATCTGACAATGCTGAAGATGTCGATGTCCAAGGAATATTTTTTATCTCATTAATAGTTTTTTCAGCATCCCAAAATTCCAAGGAAGGAATCAAATTATTAATTAACGGATCTCTTGTGTGGTACTTCAAAACCATTTCAGTTTCAAGACTCAGAAATTTTGAAGGCTTGATGATTTCTACGGGTCGCAATTCAGATAATATAGAGCATAAACAGTGACGCTCTGAATCATCTTCGAGCTGGCACAGAAAAGAATAGCAAGGATATAATGCAAAACTGATGATTATACATCAGATAAAGATAGGCAAACAAATAGCATACCATTTTAAAGTCTTATGGAACCATGAAAAAACTGAAGAGGAACAAATAGCAAACCTGTCCTAGCATAAACTTGCTTGTAGAAACATCAACCACACAGATGCCTATGACTATGCCTTTTTTGTTCGCATTCTCTAAGGCATTGCGTTTTTCAGTAATCGACATTAGATACAAAGGGTCAGAATTTGTCCAAAGTGACTCTCCATCTGTCAGTGTTCCCTTTGAAACCATGGCATGGATTTCCCGTTTAACAACCTTCAGGAAAACAAAACAGTCACAGATTCTTATTGATATAACAAGATTAAACAAAACAGTCACAAAAAGAAAATTACATGATACTAACTGAAGCTAGCATGTAAACCGACTAGTTTATAAAAAATAGTAGAGAAAAAAAATGATTTTGATACCTCTTTTCCAAATTAGCACTATACTCTAAGGAGACAGATGTGCAACTAGACTATCTCTTCCACAACATCATTTACCTTATCTTTTGAACCCATCTCTTTTCGACGAAGTTCAAGTTGTTTGGGTGTTTCAGTCTGCTCCACAACCAGGACACGGTATCCCTGCATTATAAAAAGACCCTAATGAAATGCCCTTCAAATTGATGTAATCACTGATCACTGTCAAGACTTGCAATCATAAATTCATGAAGCAAAATGCCAATTTGATAAGTATACCTTTCTTGCCAATTTTTCAATATTCATTGAGAAATTCTTTTCAGGAAACCCACAGTGAGGTTGATCTCCCTAAGAACACAAATAGATCCACGAGAAAGTTTAAAAGAGTTGTCACTGACATTGGCATACATCAAACTGCAGGAAAGAAGCATCTTATCGATTTAATATACTACTAATGCAAGAACTGTTATTCTCACGACAAAAATGAGATCTCCTCTGAGAACAAATGACATCTCCATAGGAAAACATATGAGTTCAGCGACATATCCATATAAGTTCCAAATTATCACATTGAATTAACAAAAACTTGCATAAAATAGAAAGATTTTGTGGAATCCATCATTCAACCTACCAAACTTCCAAGTCTATTCCTTGTAGGCTTGAGATTTAGAAGAAATAAAGGGGCATAACGATAAGACGAAAGATACATAAAAATGATATGCCACAACATGGACAGTTAACTTGGTTTATCCTTAAAAAGTAGAACACAAAATGGTTAAGACACACAAACGAAGATAAGTTTTAGCTAAGAATAAAATACACTAACCTTTGATACTTAATGAGAAAACAATATTCAACATAGTCCAAGGATTCACTTCTCATATACTTCTAGTAATGCATAAAGAAACCAATGTTGGCTCTTCATCTTGAAATAATAATGTCTCGTGCTGAGTTAAACAATAAAATCGATGTTCAGTAAACTGAACGTGTACAGAAATGGACTCAAGCAAAACATAAGCAGCAGAGCTTTCAATTTTGTTCAAAAATTATGTAGTCATGTTAAGTAAATGTAAGTATAAGAGATTAAAGATGACAAATGATGCTTCTATGGTCTAGGTGTATTAATATACGTGATACAACAAGATACAAGATAGATAAGCATGTAGATCGCCTACAGCTGAGTGTTTTATAATCGAATGGGGAGGTCAAGGCGATCAGGTTCAATGTTGCCCGACTACTTGGTAGTCAATGAAATCCAAGGCCTATCATTTAAATTCTAGCTGCTACAGTATCCTAGAACTTGAGGTTCGACCTTATCTTTAATTAGACAAGCCCCAAGAAGAAGGACGGTAGAAAGAGCAAAAATACCATTCCTTTCTCATCCAAAATGGTCATTAAATATCAAAAAAAAGTGTAGACATCCTCGGGTCACTAATTGCCCTATCCATCAATATAGCCACTGGACCATCCTAACTCATATTCTATCTGAAAATCTGGTAATCATCGCCTCACATCTGGAATAAAAAGGAACAATCAGGAAAAGAAACAACTAAGCTCTGAAAACAAATGGTGAAAGAGGGCTGCAATTCTTAACCATGTCATGAAATCACTGTTGAACCATTTGTGTCAGCCGTAAAGTGATTATCTCAAAAGACAATGGAAATATATACATCCCTATTAAGAAACACCCAGGAATAATTGACTCCCTCAATGAAAATACAATCCAATCAAGAACATAACAGATACAAATACATGAATTGTACAGCATCATAGCACTCATACTAAACATTTAAATATCTAAATGACTATTAGAATATCATTAAGGAATGAAAAATCATTATATTACCTTCATATATTGCAGATCAAGCTCTTTCACTCCAACATGTGCATCCATTTCAAACAATTCATAGAATTTGCCCACCTGAAGATAACAATGACGATAAATTTGTTCGAATTGATGAAATCAAAAAACTTAGTGTAGAACTTCGCAAACCAAAAAAGTAAGATATGTACCTTAAAGAACAAAACTTTATCCATATGCTTTGATTTGAACTCCCACCATTGCTTCTATAAGGGAAAGATGCCAAACAAGTGAAAACAGCAGAATCCTCTAGTTCGTCTAGTTTCTATGAGAGAAAATATTTACCTGACCACCTGACAAGCTCTTCAAGAAGTCACAGGGTAAGAAGAGAGTTCTCGGATCATAGTCTACATCTCCAGGACGCCTCCCTTGAGCATCTCTACGTCCTCTGCAACAATATAGAAATTACTAAAGCATCATCCAGAAAAAATTCGGTTGAATAAAATATGGGAATCACACCTCAACTTAACATTACATGACAATACCTACTGTACATATATATGATATACCATGCCTATTCGCAGGTGACAGAACTAAACTCAGTGAGGGTGTTCTTTTTTTTGGGGAGGGGGGGATCCTATAAAACACTCATTGGGTGAGTTTTTCTTCATTTTACTATCCTTCTATTTTTGTCCCATTTGATAGACAGGGTGGGGGAAGCAAGAGAATGCAAGAAGAAAAAAAAACAAACACATATATGTATGTGTGTAATTATAGAACTAATGGCTTCTCATCCTTAAAAATAACACTATACAATATCACAAGTAGATGGTTTTGAAAGTCTCTAGCCAGCATCGAGATGATATATTAAATTAAATTATTCCAAATAAGAAATACATGAAGCACACTCAAGGAATAAGAGATATTAATATGTTTGAGTATTATGCGTGTCTACTCACTCTCCAAGAAATATAAATTTTTCTGCATCACGTTGCGCAAACCGCTCAGCCACATCACCAGTTAAGTTGCTGCAAAAGTTATTTATTTGTTGTCCCCCTGCATTACCAATTACAAAGCTTATGTATTTAATTCCTTTACGTGAAAGTGCAAAAAGAATAATACATCATAGTCTAAAAATTATATGATACTCATTGACACTAATATAGGGTTACAGAATGATAAATTATAGAATAGGTTAGTGCATAAAAATGAAAAACATATTTTTATCAGAATACACTTCAAGTATAACAACGCTCATCCATTGTTTTAAATATCCCCGACATAGCACGATACATCCCCTGATATATCCTTCTATAGGGCTTGCCGCAACCGAGATGATCTCCATATATCCTTTACGACTTTTTGACTATTTTGGGTGATATATCCCCGATATGGCCAATATATCAACCAATATGTTGACTGATATATCCTTTTATATGGCTTGTCGGGAAACAATACGCCGTGTTTGGCAATTTTGGGGCGAGATATCATGATTTTCCCTTCATATAAAATGATATTTTGTCCTAAAAAATCAAATTAAATGTTGCAACATTTGATTTGCACTTTTGATTGTTTTACAAGATATATTAGTGAAATTAAACATATATTATTTACATTTTGTATGTTTAGATTTGATTAAGTTGTGATCACATTTTAGTGCATTAAACTATATATGCAAACATCCGTTATGGCAATCCGATATTTACCACATGCCCAATATTCCCCCGATATCCATAATCCGATATGAATTTTGGCCATCCGATATTTCCCCAACATCTGATATTTAAAACTTTGCACTCATCAGCTTCCACTAACTATATATCAGTCATACGCAATTATTTGCAAACTCTGCATATGGGATGCAATATGAAACTCTAAACCCTTGTACGGACTCTAAGAATGAAACCTACGCGTATTTTAATTTCAAGTGCAGCACTGCAGCATATAAACTTTTAATGAATTACTTACTTTGTGAAGTCAATCTTCTGCTTTTGCTCATTGGAGTTACTGATGGACAGCCCTTCGGTTGATCGCTATCCCCATCAACCCTAATTTCCTTACTGCATCCCAATTTCTTGGCATCAACCTTCTTCCTCTTCCCCGATCGACCATTCCTTGATCTCCTTGCAACCAATTCTTCCTCCTCCTTTTCCTCTGCAGAGTCAAATTCACGTGAACCTTTCTCCACTTCCATTTTTGGCTCCTGAGAGCTTGACAACCTCTTCAGTCCCCTGCGCTTTCCCGGAGCTTCCTCTTCTATCCACTCAAGTTTCTCCTTCTCAAGATCAAGAAACTCCTCCTCCTCCTCTTCAGCACCTTCATACTGAATCAAGTGCATCCCGGTACGCTTATCATAAGATTTAACATGCCCTTCATACCAGGTCTTGTGCAGCGGCGAGAAAACCCTAAGTTTTCTCCCAACCACGTTTTCAGAAAAGGATTTCGTTTTAGTGGAGGACGGTGTCTTTGGATTGAGGCTAGGGCTAGGGTTTGGGGATGGGGAGCCTTTGGTGCTTTTGTCAGGCGAAAAGCCGGTGGTCTTGCTCTGCTTTCGGCCGGCATTTGTTTTGGAGAGACAGCGGGACGAGGACATTGGATTGTCGATTTCAGCTAGGGTTTACGGCTCATGCGGAGGAAGATGGTGAGGTGATGGGCATTCGGAGAAGGGACCTGGAAAACGCAATAGCCTATTTCTATCGATTCCGAAAACCAAGTACATTTATAATTACCGGTTGAGATCCAATATTATGATTATTTAAATGAAAAAAATGTTTAGAGTCCTCAAAACCAAAAAAAACGTGCTCCTCCAAAACTTTTTTAACTGGTGTTTTGCCCTCAAAAATAATTTTTTTTGTTCTTTGAGCCCCACAACACAAAACCAAATAGATTAAAATATGTGAAGACCATAATAACCTTCTCTCTTTATATCATGTTGTTACTATGATGATAGTTGAAATGATTGATGGAGACTATTATTTTATTATTTTTGTTGTTGATGAGGGGAGCTAAGTGTTTTTGTTTGTATTGGGAGATTGTTAAGGTTACGGGTTAATTGTTAAGGTTACCGGTCATTTGTTAAGGTTATGGATCGGTTGTTAAGGTTACACGTTGGGATATATATATATATATATATATATAATATATTATATTATATTATATATTATGTATATATATAATATAGTATATAGAGTAGAGAGAGAGAGAGAGAGAGAGAGAGAAATGGAGAAACCTTGGTACCAAGTTGTCTTAAATCAACTTGGTAGTGATGTACCTGATATCTTGCACCTACAGTCACACCGGTCAAGACTAGAGGCTTAAGCCATCCTTCACCAACTCCAATGTAGATGTAGGGACAAGATTAGCCACATTCACTAACCAAGTTCTTGAGCAACTTGGTAACCTGAAGTTTTCCAATTTTTCTCATATTATATATTATATAATATATATAGTATATATATATATTTATAATATAATAATATATATATAGTATGAATATATATATATTAAATTATAATATATATTTATATATATAGTATTATGTAGATATGATATAATATATATATTGATATAATATAATATGTATATTATATATATATTATTGTATATTATATATATTTTTATATATAATGTATGTATGTAAATGTATGTCATGTATGGTATTGTATGTTAGGTACGAGTACGTAACTACATACATACATACATACATACATACATACATACATAATAATACATATATATACATATATATACTAGCATATAATATTATATATATTATAATATATAATATATAGTATAATCATATATATATATATATTAGTATATAGTATATATAATATATATATATATGTATATTATAGTATATATAGTATATAGGATATAATATATATATAGTATGTAGTATTTAGTGTAATAGTATACTGTAATATCTATATGTATGTATGTAGTAAGAGTATGTATTTATTATGCTAGGGTACGTACTAACGATACGCTACATTACCATACATATCATAGCATACATACATACATACATACATACATACATATATATACATATAATATATAGCATATATATATATATATGTATATATATAGTATAATATACATAGAAATCTATATAACTATATAATATATATATATATTATATATTATATTATAGTTAATATAGGATAGAGGAAAGAGAGAGAGAGAAAAATGGAGAAACTTGGTACCGAAAGTTGCTGCTCAAACAACTTGGTAAGTTGATGTGGCCTATATCTTGCCATACATGCATATATTGGAGTGGTGAAGGTGTTGAGGCTCTACTTCGAGGTGTGTATGTAGGGGTCAGAGATTCAGGCTCACGATCACTACCTAAGTGCTTTAAGGCACATTGTACCAAGGTCTCCATATTTCTCATATATATAATGTATGTATATATATATTAAATATTATATATATATATATATATATATTATATATATATAGATATATATATATATATATAAATATATATATGATCATAATAATATATATATATATATATATATATATAATATATATATAGATTATATTGTATATATATTTTGTATGTATGTATGATGTAGTACGTACGTACGTACGTACGTACGTACGACGTACGTACATACATACATATATACATATATATATATTGATATATATATATTATATATATAATTTATATATGTGGTGTGTGTGTGTGTGTGTGTGTGTGGTGTGTGCTGTGTAATGACATACATACATTACATTACATACATACATACATAGATATAATATATATATATAATATATATTATAGTATATTATATAATATATATATTATATTATATATAGTATATATATATATATATATATAAATATGTATGTATGTATGTTGATATTATGTTAGTATGTATGTATTGTATGTATTATGTATGTATTACATACATACACACACACAGCACACATACATACATATATAATCATATATATATGTGATGTATGTGTGTGTGGTGTGTATGTATGTAGCATACATACGATACATACATACATACAATACATACATACATACATACATACATTACATAGCATACATACATACATACATACATACATACATATATATATATTATAAATATATAATATTAAGTATATATATAATATATATATTATTGTATGTATGTATTAATTGTATGTATGTATGTACATACATAACATACAACTTACATATCATCATACATACAATATATATAATATGTGTGTGTGTGTGTGTGTGTGGTGTGTGGTGTGTGTGTATGTTTTGAGTGGCATGAATATTTTTGTCACTTGGCCTAGTAGTGAAGTTTGGCGAGTGGACAAGAGGTTAGGGGGTTCAAAACCCCCTAACAATCAAACAATATATATTTAAGGGCCTTGATTGGACTCTATGTATATCTAAGAAATATGTTTATGAAATATTGTTGTTAAGGATAAAGGTTGGTTTGTGAAGTTATGCATTGTATTGTGAATGTTAACGGGTTGGTTGTTAAGGGTTATGGGTTGTTGTTAAGGTTACGGGTTGGTTGTGAAGGTACGGGTTGATTGTTAAGGATATCGTTAGTTGTTAAAGTTACGCTTTGGGTATGTGACATTAACTACAAAACCAACACATAACCTTCATAAACCACCTGTAACCTTAACATAAATCCATAACCATAACACAAAACACCGTAACCTTCAGCAACCAATGCATACTGTGACGCCTCCTTGGTCACACAAGGCTGGGCAGTCGCGAGGGAAACCAGGAATCTCAAACTGTCATGCATCACACCATGCAATAACAATGTTTCATCCCATACACAATTACTTCTGTCTCGTCTAGTAGAGTCAGCAATAGGGTGTAGGTACAAAAGCAAGTAAATAGATAATAACGAGATATTATGATGAACTAATAGAGATAAAAAATGATTATTTCATCATCAACACAAAATATAGAGTGAACTCTGAAATAACAGTCTAGAGATCTCAAATAGTCTCAAAAACATAAAACTAATATCTGATAAAGAAAATAAGCACACAGCCTTTACAACTTCATAAAACATAACTCCAAAAGTCTAACAAAATGTCCCCTACAGTGGAGCTCAAAATAAAATATAAACTACAAAATGAAAGAGACGCTAATAAGTATCGCTATCAACTCTGCACTCCTCGTGGCACCTGGCTCGTCCCTGAAATGGGAGGGACAACGCAACGTCAAAGCGCTAGCAGAGCAACAATCACAACCAACCCAAGGGAGAATGCTCGTGCAATATGAAATAACAGTTAATACATATATAACATAAAATCATTGATCTACAAAAAGAATTAGTATTTAGTAAATGAACAACGACGAGCAATTCGGTTCGTCGAGCGAAATAATCCAAACAAGGAACGCCTCTATGTATAACCTTGTATCTCAAATTGTAAAATGCCTAAATCCAAACCAAGATCTAAGTACATAGAACAATAATATAAAGAAACTAAGCCCATCTAACTCAAAAATACATGCATATAAACCCACCATAAGTACATGTCGCAGCTGATGTAAGGTAAGTGCCAATACTTAAGGTTAATACAGGTGTCCAACACATGGACTAAGATAGGTGTAGTGATGCCCAGCGAATCACATGGACTGCATATATAAAAATTTGTCCAACACAGTGGACTGAATGATGAATATCTAAGCACATGGACTGAAATATAAATGAATGTCGCAACACATGGACTGAATATGATGAATGTTCAGCCATGGACTGCACATAAATAATTGCCAACCACATGGATCTAATGAAATGTGTAAATATCGAATGAGATATATGAAAATGATGCTATACACTAATTTCACATGTGTCTCCGTGGCAAATCTAAACCTCATGTCCGCAAGCCATCTCACATATGAAGATTACATAAAAACAATAATTTCTAACCCAAAGTATTTGAGGCGACTCTCGTCACATAATAGCACACAACAAAATTAAAACATGCAAAAAACTATGCGGCGATCAATCCGAAACAGACAGAAAGCTTCATAGTTTCTGTCTGCTTCGAACAAATCTAGAAGTAAAACATCATTAATTTCTAAGCATAATATTACGAATATCACATAAATGAAAATATGAATAAAATATTAGCATGGTAAATAAGGTCGTGCGAAGAACCCTAAAACATTTATATACACATGTTAATGTTTAAAAAGGCAAAAAACTTGTGATTAATTCATGATAATAATTTCAGATCTGAATTTTGTCAATGGTTATATTGTAATTCAATTAGAAAATATGATAATTCTCACTCATAAAGTTAAAAGATCTATCTTTTTGTAACTAAAATACGTTTTTTTTTTTAAAAAAGGCCCCTCCGAAAAATTCGAATAAAACTAATAAAACGTGCAAAAATAAAAGTACAGGCTGGGTTGAGATGTTACTTGCCTCAGAATTGGCTGGAAAAACTCCTGAACACGTGAAAGAAGAACCAATCCCCATTTGCTGCAGCATGCACAAAACCCCGCTTAAAAAAATCCTCCGAAATCACTGCAAAATCTGCCACCCAGAAAGAGAACTAGGGTTTGAGAGAGGGGAAAAGGGCTGCTAGGTTTGGAACCCCAAGAGACAAAGATGTGTTTTTCGTGTTTAACAAGTTGTAATATACAGTAAAGCCGAAAAAACTAACAGGCCAAAAACCGCGAAACTTCGAAACTGGA